GGAAGAGTTTGCACCGCGCCATTAGAGGGCAAATGGAGGGCCGGGTTCTTATAAAAGCGCATTGCCCTTCAATGTACCACCCGAGCCCCGAGAGCCTTTAACCCTTTGTTGGGGCAGCAATGTGCGCATGTAGCTGACAATGAGATCTGCCAGCACAGGACAGAGAGTGCTATTGATGACTACGGGTGGCACACAACGGGCAGACGCAGCCCACCTTCACTATGGACAGAGCAGCAAGGAGCAATGACGACCTAGAGCAGCAAGGAGCAATGACGACCTAGAGCAGCAAGGAGCAATGACGACATAAAGCAACAAGGAGCAATGCCGACATGGAGCAGCAAGGAGCAATGCCGACCTAGAGCAGCAAGGAGCAATGACGACCTAGAGCAGCAAGGAGCAATGCCGACATAGAGCAGCAAGGAGCAATGACGACCTAGAGCAGCAAGGAGCAATGATGACATAGAGCAGCAAGGAGCAATGATGACATAGAGCAGCAAGGAGCAATGACGACATAGAGCAGCAAGGAGCAATGACGACCTAGAGCAGCAAGGAGCAATGACGACCTAGAGCAGCAAGGAGCAATGACGACCTAGAGCAGCAAGGAGCAATGACGACCTAGAGCAGCAAGGAGCAATGACGACCTAGAGCAGCAAGGAGCAATGACGACCTAGAGCAGCAAGGAGCAATGACGACCTAGAGCAGCAAGGAGCAATGACGACCTAGAGCAGCAAGGAGCAATGACGACCTAGAGCAGCAAGGAGCAATGACGACCTAGAGCAGCAAGGAGCAATGACGACATAAAGCAACAAGGAGCAATGCCGACATGGAGCAGCAAGGAGCAATGCCGACCTAGAGCAGCAAGGAGCAATGACGACCTAGAGCAGCAAGGAGCAATGCCGACATGGAGCAGCAAGGAGCAATGCCGACATGGAGCAGCAAGGAGCAATGCCGACATGGAGCAGCAAGGAGCAATGCCGACATGGAGCAGCAAGGAGCAATGACGACCTAGAGCAGCAAGGAGCAATGACGACATGGAGCAGCAAGGAGCAATGACGACCTAGAGCAGCAAGGAGCAATGACGACATCCGCACGTGATGAGATTGCCGGGAACATTTCGGAATCTCTTTGATTTTAAATAGTAATTGTCTTCCTTTTTCTTAGTTTCCTCGGGTTTTATGATGTGAAGTTTAGTGAATAAATGGCTCCGTTTCCTATTGCCTGAGCTCATCATTTCCTTTGCTTTCCCAGGCCTTACATGTCGGTGGGCACCCTCCGCGATCAAGTGATTTACCCCGACACTGCCAGTGACATGAGGGCAAAAGGCTTCACCGACAACGACCTGGAAGCCATCCTGACTATAGTGAACCTGAACTACTTGGTGCCCAGAGAAGGAGGTGAGCATACGTGCGCGCTATCCATTCGCCTGTGCAGGCTGTCATCTGTCGCCCCCTTGTGGATGTTTTTCATTACAGCGGAACTCCTCCCTTGCAGGGGGGGTCAGTGCTTGTCAATGCCTGGGGGCAGGGCCGTCCCGAGGCTGGGTGACACCCGGAGCGGTCACCGGGCGTCACCCC